TCGTAAGTAGTTGACAGTATACAGAACATAGTAGAAAATGAGAGGAGGCAAGACAGACACGTCCATTAAAGCCATTTTTTATTCATTTGTTTCCTTTCATTACATGACTTTCCTTTACCCTTAAGTTTCAATATATTTCGATGCATTTTAATTTTATAGAAAAAAGAATAATTTTAAGTTTTTGAAATATATCCAATTTTGAAAATTTTTTTATAAAAGAGTAGTTGTTTTTTTAATGCGATTTTTACTTATGAGAGTTCACCAATGACTGTGATTAATATTCGAAGGATAACAAAGATGCATTCATTAATTTAAAAAACAAAACCTATTTAAAAATCAATTCTTAATATTCCATAGATATTTGTTTTCGAATAAAATATTTAAAAAAAGCTAATTTTTAAATTAGATATAATACTTTAAGTCAAAGAACATTTTTTTAAAAACAATTAGTATAGGTTTAAGTAAATCAAGTCGAGTTATAAGGCATCATCTAACAATGAAGTTAAATGTAAATGTGAATTTTTTCTTCTCTTTCGATTTTATTTGTGTTCAGATTCGTTCATGAATATTTACTTTGTTGGAATGTGATTATAAATAATTACTTCAGCTAATAGTTTTTTCTATAATTAACAATTTCATGGATGTAAGTCGGATAATTTTTTTTGACATATCAACTATCTTTAGTTTCTATTTTAGTGAGCAGATTAGTTATAGTAACTATAAAATGGGTCAATCTGATTAAATGTCGTCGGGATTGAAGGATTTGAATCTTTGATTGATTTCTCAGCATGACTTTGTAATGACAATTTCCTTCTTAGAAGTAATACTCTACAGTATGAATAGCTTGGTTCTATCTATCATCAATGCAAGAGAGAAAATGTCCAATCTTTGATTGCTTTCATTTCTTTTACGTTATCTATATATATAATGTTCAGTGTGTGTCTGTGCCGGATTAAGGGTTAATAGTCAAATAAGGCTATCAGAGGAAGGCGCCAAAGGCTATATGGAGATACCATAGGTCCTCATAGACTATCCTATGGAAATATCCATAGATCTTCATGGGCTATTATATGAGAGCACTCATGGATCCTCAAGGATCGTCCTATAGGGTACCCATACGCCTTGAAGGATGTAAGACAATAAAGGGATAAGGCTACAAGTGGTACTAGGGACATGAGGCTATAAGGACGTAAGGCTTCGATCTATATACATAATATCGTGTATTTGTATGTCTGTTATCGAATGAAAAGTTAAACATCGCACGAGTTCTCACTAGTGAGAAAATAATTTCAAGTTAGAGTGTAAATGTCGCTATTAATGTATGTAAATTAAAAGACGATGTTCATATACTACACTCACAACTATAACGTTGTAAAGTTCTCGCAAACTCTTAAACTATATCATAGTCTGAGATCTGTTCCACACGCATATACCCCCAACAACCCATTCCAAAATCAAAAAAATAGAAAACAAAATATTAATATAAAAAAAGAAGCTAAATCTCAAATCTACCTCAATCAAAATCCTTATTTAATTTTTACCTTATCTTCTGTAATGTGTAGAGTGTTTTTAGAATTTCATCAATTCATAATATTATTATTTTTATGAAAGGCTTGTTAGTAAAATAGTATTAAAAGGTCATATTCATAAAAGAAATATTGTTAACAATTGTTTTGAAGTATTTACAACGGATCGGTATATAACTTTTTCGATTAATTCACACTAGTGCCGCTTCGTTCGTACTTATACCACAGATAAAAGTCTTGTTACTCAGTATACTCTCAGAGTTTTAGTTATAAAGAGCAAGAATTTGTTGATAAAACTGCAATATTCATTTTTCATGGCTCTTGGAAGTTTAGATTTTCTTCTTAAAGTCAGCTGTAAATACACTAAAGCAAGTTTTGATAATCATGGATAAAAACATCAGCCCACTATACCAAGAAGTGTGTTAAGTATTTGACTAGTTATTAGAGACAAAAGCACTCTGTATAATCTTAAATTTCATTGGACGAATTCTGCCTATACGGAGTAGATTGCATATCTTATAAACATTTTAAACAATCTGAGAACATCTCTTTTTTTTTACTTGAGGTCATTTTTGAGAATTTTTTTGCTTCAAATTAATAAACTTGAATAAATAAATATCTGCTCTTAGAGTATTTTCCTAACTTCTAGAATTTCTAGCGAGAAAAAATGATTTTTTTTTTCGATATTAGAAATTATTTACTATTATATTATTATGATAATAGTAGGTTCGAATGTCATTCAGAAAATCATCGAAAAACAAACTAAATATATTTATATCATGTAGGTTAAGAAATTCTACGAAAGAATTTGTAAGTTATATTATATCAATTCGATATTATTATTCTTATTTTCATTATTGCTTTTACAAATATATTTAAGTATGATAATAATTTCTTTTCGTTACTAAGAAAACATCTAAAAACAATTTAGAATTCGGAAAAAATCAAAAAATTTTTTTTTGATAAAACTATAACGAGTTTTCATCATTTTAATGAAAGTCTTTTTAATCTAATGAAACTACTTCGTGTATTAAGATGATATTGTATCACAAGTAGGGGTGGCACTTTAACTTTACTTTAAAAGTTAAAGTTAAAGTGGCACTTTAAACTTTAAACTTTAAAGTTAAAGTGCTAAAATTTTTACTTTAATTAAAGTTTAAAGTTTTAAAGTATTTTACTTTAAACTTTAATTAAAGTTTAAAGTAAAATACTTTAAAACTTTAAACTTTAATTAAAGTAAAAATTTTAGCACTTTAATTAAAGTTTAAAGTTTAAAGTAAGACACTTTAAACTTTAATTAAAGTTTAAAGTGTTTTTAAAGTTAAAGTGCCACCCCTAATCACAAGTATCAAACATGGCTGATGAATGATAGTTTATGCTTAATTGAAAAAAGGATTGACTTTTATAAAAAAAAAAGTTATACAATTAAAAGAGCAGCTCAGAGACAAATCCTAATTCATGTATTATAGAGAGCGTTTTTCAACCTCTATCATTAAAAACTAAAGTGCACACGACTTTAAGCATCTTGATATTTCATTTCATCATTTTTTTTCTTCTTTCGAACATCCTATACAATACGAAAATGAGCTGAATATCGCTGAAAGAATCGTAAGATATTCTTTTCAAATTCTAATATTAAACTAGAACATAGAAATCTCCTTAGAATTTCATGTCAAGCAGTTTTCTCTTTCTCGACATCGAAAGCATTTTCTTACAAAGTCCTTTTTTTTTAAAGACTACGTTACAGAAAAACAGTTTCATTTGTAGTACTTTCTCGTGTATGAGAGACAAAAATCTCTTCGATAATGACGATCTCTTTCTTTTTCGTTTATTGTAGTAATTCCTAATATTCCAGAGAAGGCGTCCTGGGTACTAATTAGGATCGACATTTGTGTACTAAGCAGAGATGAGCAACTACACTCTGTCTTTCTCCAATTCCATATAACTCCAGTCCTATTTTCTAAAATCCTACTCCAACTCCAATTTAACTTCAATTCGAGTCGGATTTTACAAAACTGAACTTCTGCCAAAGCACTCTTAAATACACATAAGTTTTTGAACATAATTAAATCTACGATTGATATAAATTAGTAGCATATTAATTTATTGCTTTATAAACTTTCTCATAAAATTTAAAGATAGGCACCTCCATTCTGTCCTGTTCCTACTCCATTTTCACTCTGATGAGAAAAATCATCAACTTTGGAGTTGAAATTGCCCATCTCTGATATCAACCATTTCAAAATACTTACTCTTCAGATCCTCCTGAATATATCCATAACATGCGAGCTTACAGAAGACTTCTCAGAACAAGTACTACATAAGGATTATGGCATGATCCTCATAGAAGATACTCATTATTTTTAGAGTTTCAGATTTTGACAGAGTATCTTATTTAGTCATCAAGATTCTCTTCGAGGACCCTTATACAATGGTCTAAAGATGGTTTTCATCAAAAGTTAAAAATAGCATTTTAGAACACTGTCTATCCCATTACGACCGCCTTTTCCAAAGCCCATAAAATCCATAGACCCCAATGTTTGTCACTGAAGAGCTCCGTTCGGATTGACATCCATCTTTCCAGCATTTGCAAAAGTAGAAGCTCTAACAGATTACATAGATTCGCGTGGAATCCTTTCAACTTTGTTCAGTTTCTCCTGTATCCAAATCTTCTCATGATCTTACTCAGAGTACATCACGGTTGTTCTTCGAACAGCTTCACATAACTTACCAAAAGCCTTATAAAATTTCACCGGCATTCTCTATGCAGATACTTAGGAGATTCTTCGACAGATCCACATTCATCGTACATAAAATCATGTATCCTAAAGGTTTCCTAAAAAACATAGGGATTAGGTTTGATATTTTGTTGTTCAACGATTCGATATTCTTCTCACAAGATACAGATAGAATCTTCTCTGATGTTCATATAAATGATCATTCTACCAAAAAAGATTCTGAATTCTTGCAATTCTGAATAAAATCCTCAGATTCTTATGTTTTTCTATCAAAAACTTACATGGAATTAGTATTACTCTTTCTTGGAGAACCTCCTTACAGCAATCTCCAGGTGTTATTTTTATGATCAAAAAGATCTTAGCAAGAACTAGAAGTAACATAGATGTAAGAATCGTTACCAAATCCTTCTTTTCTCATAAGAAACTAGGAAAAGACTTCTGAATTTTTATCCGTGGAATGAGCATTCTCAAAGACGAATATCGTATTTGTAGCGCTTACCTCCACAGGAGATGAAATCTCTTTGGCAACGACGATTCCTTTTCTTTTTCGTTCATTGTAGTAATTCCCAATATTCCAGTCGATGCCCGATGGGCACAGAATGCGACGACTGTTGCTGGAGGCCATGGACAAGGCAATGCCCCCTATCAACTCATGCGGCCTCATAGTCTCTTCGTTGATGATGATCAAACGATGGTCATTGCTGACACGTACAATCATTGTATCATCCAATGGAAGATGGGTGATACGAATGGACAAGTGGTAGTTGGTGGCCGTGGCCAAGGAAATCGATTGGATCAATTAGATCATCCAGCCGATGTGTTGATCGACAAAGAGACGGATAGTCTCATTATTTGTGATTATATGAATCGACGAGTCGTACGATGGTCTCGTCGTAGTGGTACAACTCAAGGAGAAATCCTTATCGACAACATTAATTGTCACGGATTGGCCATAGATGATCAGAGATATCTATACATCTCTGACGCCGACAAAGCTGAAGTAAGACGATATCAAGTAGGAGACAAGAATGGAACTATTGTGGCTGGTGGCAATGGCAAAGGTGCTGGTCTCAATCAACTCAACCATCCGACCTACATCTTTGTTGATCAACAACCGACTGTCTACGTGTCAGAAAAAAACAATCATCGTGTAATGAAATGGAATAAAAGTGCAAAAGAAGGAATTGTCGTCGCTGGAGGTCAAGGCCAAGGGAATGCTCTGACACAATTGTCGTATCCTTACGGACTGTTCGTCGATACATTGGGTACCATCTATGTGGCAGACCATATGAATCATCGAGTGATGCGTTGGCCTAAAGGAGCGAAACAGGGCACTGTCATTGTGGGTGGAAATGGTGAAGGAGCAGGAGCAAATCAACTCAGCCGTCCCGTTGGTTTGTCCTTCGATCGATATGGCAATCTCTATGTCGTCGATTGTGACAATCATCGTGTTCAACGCTTTTCAATCGAATAGACTCAAAACGATGGATTAATTTTTTTGTGTTCCTTTCCTTTCAAATAAATCACGTTGAATTGATGAAATGAATGTCTATTCTATTCGCACGCGCGCGACCAGGAATCATCCTGGTGGAGTCGTGGCGAGCGTAACGCTCATGCACGCACAGGACAGACTCATATCATCCATATCCTCCCCGCGAGAGATATGTGAATGAGTCTGAATAAGCCTGGTCGTGTGCCACAGACCAGAGGGTGTGGGTGTGGAGTGTGGGTGCAGGTGCACGTGTGAGTATGCGG